ATGTTTTTTTCATTTTTTTTTTTTTTTTTTAGAGAGAGTGGGAGGGAAGGAGGAGGAGAGAGAGAGAATGAGAGAGAGAGAGAGAGAGAGAAGCATGGATGTAAGAGACACGTCAATTGGGTGCCTCCTGCGTGCATTCCAGCCTGGAATGATAATGTCAGACTTGCAGTCATTTAAGAACATACTCATCATTTCTTAATGAAATCTGATTTTGGGTATTTGGAAGTCTCCATCAATACCCAAGGAAACCCCTTTCAGAAGTTAATTTTGGCTTTTCCTCATTGATGTGATCCAACAAACCAAATCCAACAGTATCCCTTCATTAAAAAAAACACCCAGGTATGTGCCCTTAACTGGGAATCCAACCTGAGACCCTTGGTGTGTGAGCCAACACTCAAACCATTGAGCAGCACTGGCCAGGGTAAAGGTCATAGATATTTTAGAAGAATATCAATAAATTTAGTGTTGATCTTCTACTTCTCATAGGATTGCATATACATTTAATTACAAAACTTCTCTTATTCAGAAAACACAAAAAGGAAAACGAAATGACTAACAATTGTAGACTAGTAAACTAACTTGAGATACAGTTTTGACTTATAAAACTGGCAAAGATTATTTAAAACGAAAGAATACAATGCTGGTCAGAGGGGCAAAGTAGTTAGTTTTACAGAAAACTTGTCGGCCTTGAGAGTATGTGTCGATAGGCCTTTAAAAGCAACATATACTTTGACCTAATAATTTCACTTGGGAATCTAAGGAAATCATCGTAAATACAGAAAAAAACTTAATGCATAAAGATGTTCAGTGCATCATTATATATAGTAGGAAAAAAATGGAAATAATCTCTCCAATTATGGAAGAAAAATTAAATAAGTTATGCTACATTAATATACCTAAATACAGTAAAATGATGCTTACAAGGAGTTTATAAGACATGACAAATTCTTGTGTTAACATATCAAACACAAGAAATAAATTATAATACTATTTATTTATTTATTTATTTATTTATTTACTTATTTATTTATTGCTTTACATATGTCTCCTTTTTCCCTGATTAATCCGCCCCCCCAGCCATTCCCACCCCAGGCAAGCCCCCACTACCCCATGTCTGTGTCCATTGGTTATGCTAATATGCATGCACACAATACTATTTTTTAAAGCTAGAAAAAAGGCCAGAAGTAAATATGCCCAAATACTGACAGACATTATTTCTGGTCGATGGAATTTTATGGGGAATTTTGTCTTTATTTTTTTGTACTTGTTGGGTTTTCTGCGATGAAAATATCTCCTTTATTATACTAAATGGAAAAGGCATTCAGTTCTTTTAAAAATATATGTATTTTTATTGATTGCAGAGAGGAAGGGAGAGGGAGAGAGAGATAGAAACATCAATAATGAGAATCATTGATCAGCTATCTCCTGCACGCCCCCCAGTGGAGATCGAGCCTGCAACCTGGACATGTGCCCTTGACTAGAATTGAACCCGGGACCCTTCAGTCTGCAGACCAATGCTCTATCCACTGAGCCAAACCAGCTAGGGCTTGGCATTTAGTACTTTCTTTTGTTTTCTTTTTTAATTGATTAAGGTATTACATATGTGTCTTTATCTCCCCATTGCCCGCCCCCCCTACAACCCCCCAGATCTTATTTTCTTACCTCTAATGAGTGCTATAATATTCCCTCAAGCAGTTCTCAATATCTCCAACATTGGAGACTGTTTTTTTTATTTTTGCTGTCATCTTCAACCTGTGGTCTGTTCCCAGGACAACGGATGGGAAGCTCTGAAAAGTTTAGGGGAATTGGCTCCTATGTAAGGCAGTCCCCATGCTATGCAGGTGACCGGAACATTTTCTCTGGAAAATCCTAAGTTAGACATTCCATTGAGTTAGCAGCCAGCTCTGGAGCAATGTGATACCCATATGGCATATACAATATCCTATTTGTACGAGTTAGTGCAGGCAGACCACTCTTCTCCTGAGAGTTGTGCAGTGAAAGAATGGAAGATTCTATACTGTAAAGGAAGGAGCCTGGTGTGTGCCAAGTAAAGAGAAAATCTGGGCAGAGTAGGGAGAGATATTCATTTTTGTTTTATATCAATATTTGTAATAATTTTGCTCTCAGCTATGAACGAAGAAAGGAATCGAGAGGGTGTTGACGAAGCTGAGTCTGATCTCAGTGAGGCCCACGAGCAGGAGTGGGAAGATACATTTAAAAGCAAGACAAGGGTGCGAACAAGGTGACCAAGTGTGGGATGGAGGTGGCCGCAGCCAGTCAGAAGGATTCAGATTACGAAGTTTGTGTCATGGAGCAGCCAGACACAGCAGGTGTGATCGCAGAAGGCCTCCTGTACTCATCCCAAGGGTAGGGCTTGTGTAGGGTCTGTGTTCAGGAGGCTGGAGAGAAAGAACAGGGGTGCAGGGATGGATCTAGCAGGATTCTGGATACTAGCTCTATGTGAATATTTTCTCACCAAGCGTGGGGTGTGTACAAGATGGAAGAAGAAAATGTTCTTCCTCTTTCTCTTCTCTCCTTGACCACATGGTCCCCTTCCGGGACCCAGACTTCAGGCTAACTGACTACACTTAAACTTTAGGAAAACCCATGCTGAATCCCAATATCAAATTAAGAGTCAAAATTTTGGCACAGAATGTGTTGGTAGCTTAGCAGTTACTCAGGCAGAATAGAATTTTAAAATTGCTTCGTAGCCCTGGCTGGTTGCTCAGTGGTTAGAGCGTTGGTCCACGCACCACGCACTGGAGGATCATGGGTTCGATGCCCAGTCAAGGGCACATACCTGGGTTGCAGGTTCTATTCCTGGTTCTGGTCAGGCTGTGTGCGGGAGGCAACCATTCGATGTGTTACTTTCACATCGATGTTTCTCTTTCTCTCTCTCCCTCCCTTCCTCCCTTCCGTTCTTTCTAAAGATCAATGGAAAAAGTACCCTCAGGTAAAGGTAATTTACAAAAAAATGCTTTCTAAAGTAAAAAGTCTTTAGTAAATCATGAGATCGTGTTAGTGTAACATTCTAATTACTTTTGTCTTTCAGAGGTACGACGCAAGGGGAGTACTGTGGGCAGCAAATCCAAAATCCGGATTAAATCCAGTAAGGGCAAACCAAAGCCACACCCATAGCGTGCTGGGCCTCGCCGTGGCTCCCCTACCTGCTGGCACCCAGGTATCTCTGTGCTGTTGAGCTGACACTGTGCCTCAACTGAAGGACTTCCATTGTAATAGCTATGAGAAAAGCCACGACAAACCACACAAAAACATTTCCTTTCAAAGTCGCAGTGACGCTGTAGGGAATCAGTATATTAGCTTACTTCCAAGATTAAAAAGAGCTTGTGCAAAAGTTTGCTCGCCTCCTCAATTATTTCCTACCCGAGGTCTGTGAAAAGTGTCTGTTTCTGTTAAGAAAATAATGCTTTTTGAAGAGAAGAATGACAAATAAAAAGCATTATTTTTCAATTTAAAAGAGAAGATCCTGATATTCCTCTTAGGTTTCTGCAGCATTTTCAGATTTCTTCTGGTTTCAGGCATTCTTATGGTTTCTCTGATTTTCACAAGTAACCTATAAAGTAGGTGGGGTCATACTGTTATCCTCATTTCTCAGAAGATGAAACTGAAGCCCAGAATGGTTATAAGCCTCTCCCTAGGTCACTGAGCTGGTCGGTGTCAGAGCCCCCACCCTGGTGAACGGGTGTCTAGATTGTTTGACAATGGCCACGGGCCATCCATGTTCAGACGCTTTCCTTCACAGAGGCCGGTGTTGCTGAAGGTTCACCCAGAATCTTCATTCTTTGCTTTTATTGCCTTATTTGTCTGTTCTGTTTGTGACCGTGGATTCTCCTAGGCACTAGAGGTGGATTAACCTGCAAAAATAAGTTGCAAATGACAAACGCACATTCTGGGTAGTCACATAGCAAGGGCTCCTTCCTGTTTCTCTGCTCCTGGGTCACTTGGATTTGCTCTTATCTCTCTGGCTCCAAACACTGTGGTGAGAATTCTGCATCTGCTTTGGCTCACAGATTTGGTGTTCCTTTGGGTTTATCTCCTGAAATTTTAGACCTTGGCCTGTTCCTTAAACCTCAGACACCCCCATCCCGACTCTAGAACCCCAGCCTTATTTAAGCCAAACCCCTGGCCAGGCCTGCCCCTGGCCGTCATCAAAGTGTATATGGGATGGGTTTCAAAAATGCTGAGCCTACTGGACGGTTCTTTAGATCTGGGGGCAGAAAACAAAATTTTTCAGACAGTTGGCTGTGTTCATGGTTAAATGAAAGCCAAGCCTGAGATTCACACGTACAGTTACCACCTGCTGGGCATACCCAGCTGTACCCTTTTGCTTTCCCAAACAGATCTTGGATGTCACTAACAAATTTAGGGGCTTTTACATGGGACTTAAGAATTTTTTTTTTGAAGACATAGTAAACTTTATTCAGACTTTGGGATTCACAAAAATATGGAGGAGGAATTCGCATTTTCAACATGGCAACAAAGAATTCTTAATAAGTTTTTCTGAATATTTTTTGTTAACGTCAGGGACCTTAGGAATTACTAAAGGTCCATACCAGCCATTGTTACATTGTCATCCTGGCATTCACTTCTCACTGTTCTGTTCCTGGCTGTGGTTTTTACCTGAAGCAGCATGACCCTACCTCCTTTTTTTCATTAGTCATTCCAACATCTGCCAGCCCAATATCAAGAACATCGATAGGGGGTGAAAAGTGACCAACAACTCTTGATGTCATCCTAACAGACCTAACTTCAATCAACAATACACTGGGATGGGTACAGGCCAACACAGTGGTAATGAAAAATTTTTCCCGCTTCAGGAATGCTCTAATTGCCATTGGCCCTTGAAATGGGCTGGGCCACCTATGACGGTGCCCTGGCGGGTGCACAAAAACAAACCGCAAAGCCTAATGGATTAGACATTCTAGGGAATCACCCAGGAGTTTCCCCTTCCCCATTCTGTCTGCCTCATTCGTGCTTGCTTTCCTCTCGTTGGCTCCATGCTCCTGGCTTGGCAGATTTCATTACCTGCTTTGGCCTACTTGGATTTGACCCGCCTTTTGGATTCCACACTTTCTATTTTGGCACTTGAACATGGTTTAGAGCTTTTCCTGCTTCAGAATCTCCCATTGCCCCAGAGACTGTTCGATCTATGGCTTTCTGCACCGCCATTCCCCCACAACCAAGTCTGGTCCTTGGGAGCAGGGACTAGGGAGACTCTTAACAACATTCGGAAACATTTTTCAGAACTGGATGAAATAGCCTTTTGAAACAAAATTGAAAATTTATCATCATTATATACTAACCTTATAAGCCGAAGGTCATATTAATAAGTGAATTTGGCATGGCAGTATGGACATGTAGGTTCTGAAATAATCTAATAATCCTGCATAATCTTAGGAAGATTCATTGTTGGCTCAAGTCAAAGGGCACAGCAAGGTTGGGCTAGAATGTGTGGTTATCCCAGTGTGGCTGGAGGTGATGAGATGGCCTAGAGACATATGACAGAGATGACCCTGAGGGTGACCTCATGATGCACTGCTATATTAGACTGCTAGGGAGTTTTTGTTCTTTTTGTAGAGGGCAGGAGGATGGCCGAGGGATCCTATTGGAGTGATTGAGAGATAACAGGATGGGCAAAGCACCCTTGGTTTGGGGCCTTGTCTCTGTTATTTAAACATAGTGGGAAAACAACCTGTCTTCAACAGATAAAATACTAACAAAATTTCTAGGTCCACTGTTAGGAGCTCAGAATACATTTCTCTCTGAAATAATGTTCTACAGGGTTTTATGGGATAACATGCATAAACAGAAGTCCTTTACCGATGTTTTTATGCCAAATATTTAAAGTTCTCATGGGTTAGCAGGAAGACACCTCCAATAATAACATCAGATAACATGAAGAGTAAAGAGGCACTTTGATGGAGACAAATCACCAACTAGTGAGCACTGGGGTAGCTACCACCATTTCTTTCTGCTACAGCAACATGGAAAATCCCAGGGTCATCTCTATCATATGTCTCTTCATAATGATTTGTAGTCATGTTTTTGTCATGTTAGTAATGTTTTATAATGTTATTGATTTTTTTAAGTTTATAAGAAGATTCACTATACATATATATATGTATCAGTATTCTTATTTATGTGACTAATATTTTTTCTATAGATATATATTTCTAATTGTATAAGGCAAGTTAATAAAAAATAAGGCCAATTATATAATATAAATGTATTTGTATTAGGGAATACATACAAGAAAAGAATACTTCAAAGTATGTATAGATCACATAATGTTACTGTTTGAAAAATACGCAAACTGGTCAATTCTATACTGAAAATACATTGGCCCCATAGTTATAGTGATGCTTCCTCCGATTTTAAGCAACATGTATCAGATAAATGTTTTTGTCCTTTTATTTCTATATTTCAAAAAGGAGTCTTTATAAAAAAAGGAATAATTCCTTTTAAATTCTTTTTTTTTCTTCTTTTTTTCCTGAGATATAGGAAAGACGAGTGGCAGCTGTAGGTATTATGCTGACCTGAGCTGTCAAAGTCTCTCCAGGTTGCTCTTGCATGCAGTTGGAGAGCCCATGGCTACACCACCTTTTAAATTCTTTATTTATATTTAGCCCAACTATATCTCTTTTACTCTCATTCACCGAGACATTTAAGTGTCACTGTGGTGCAGGTATCAGGATTAGGTGTGAGGACGATGGGGTAGAGTGTACAAGGTTGAGTGTGGTCAGGGGAGAATAACTAAGATGTACCTTTGAGGAGTTCATAGTATAGTTGGAGAGAAGCCTGCATCTTAAGTACAGGATTATACAAGACAGTGTAATAAACACAATGATCAGCGCATGTAGAAAGGGCTGTGGGAGGAGCAAAGACCTTGCCAAAGGGGCCAGAGGGCACACAGCAAAAAGGATATTTGAACCGCATCTAAGTTTAGCCATATATGGACTCAAAATTCTTTCCAAAGTAGAATGTTGGCTAAAGCTCTTTCCCATAATTACTCTGACTAGATGATCTACTTAAACTTGTTGTATCTCTTCTTGGTCATTACATGATCTCCCTGTCTTCTCATGTAGGTAGGTTGCTGCATTGCAACTTCATACATTTCGAGGGCATTCTATCCGGCAGCCAAAAGAAAGGGCAGGAAGTGAGAACACTCAGGGGTGTGGCTGTTCCATGGCAGGTTCCCACATAGTATCCTCCGCCCTCTTATAACATGGGAGAGTCTTTCCTTTTAGGATTCAATGGTTCAACAGGTTTGGAAGGATTTGGGAAGGGGATGCTTCCTTGAGTTCTGTTGCTGGGAGAAGACACGAAATTTAACATGTCAAATGGCAAAGGTATAACCACGGTGGAGGGTTTGTCTGTGAACAGGGACTGAAGCGTGTGGAGGTATCGAAGCTGAACAGCAGCTGGAGTGCCTGATAGAATCTCAGCTGCCATCCTCAGGGACTCGGAGGTGGCTCTCTCCCCTTCTGCAGCGATCATCTAGAGAACAGACGTGAAGAAAAGCAAAGTGAGTTCCCTTCTTCGTTCCTGGACAGTTCTAATCACTATTCAGCAAGCATCTATTAGGTGGCAGGTGCTGTGAAGCATAGAACAGATGGTCTTCGTTTTCAAGGATCTTGCTCTAGGGAAGACAGATTACACCATTAATTGCAATTTAGGGCCGAATTTGTTGAGGCCACAAATGGCAAGGATAGTGAAGTGTTTGGGCGTTATGTCTAGTGGGCCTTGAAAGGTTAAAAGGATTTTGCCCTATAGAGAAAAGGTTGGCCAATATTCCAGGCAAAAACATGGAATCCTGAAAGGGTAGTTCCCAACTCAAGGAAAATGAATGGGAAAGCCTTTCAGAAGGAAAAACACCAATCTCACCACCTGAATGCCACCTTAAAGTGGGCAGAGAGGGTTAGATGCCACTCTGCCCTGAAGACCATCTTCCTCCCCCGTCCTCCCTCCTCCACTTCCCCTCAGTCATCAACCTTGTATGTGGTTAGGGGTTTTTCCACCTACTTCCTGTTCCTTAAAAGAAATCTGCCTCCCCTTCAGTCCTCATTTTCCTCTTCCCATCACCCCATTCCACCCATACAAGTCAGGAGTTGCTGGCAGCCACATCCTTGCTTCTCACTGGCATGTCTGAGTAGAGGCTATGGGTGGCACAGCCTTCTCTTGGCTCTGGTGTTGAGGAAACTGGCCCCTGAGCATGGTTGCCTCTCCAGAGCTTGCGCAGAGCTAGGGAGATAGGTCTGGGTGTCATTAACCTATAGGTGACAGGTGACTGATATTACCCAGGACAGATGCCAATACAAGAGAAGAAGGATGAAGTATGGTGAGAGGCCTTTAGGGAGAGGAAACGAAGACAAGACTCAGGCTGGAGGAGATGGTCCCTGTTACCAATGGCCTCAGAGAGAGGGAGTAGCGGGAGGAGATGTTGCATTAGTCATTTAGGAGCTACTAGCACACTAGCGATTTTAATAGAGTTGGTTGGAGTGGGGGGCACAAGCCAGATTCCTCCCAGTGCCTGGACGAATGGGAGGTGAGGAAGCAAAGGGGAAACGCTCTGCATGAGCAGGCCTTTTGGATTCTCCGGTGCTTCTCAAAGAACAGCCTGCTCTTTGATGGAGGGCAGATGGCCTGCTCCGTGCTGGCTCACCCGCACGCGGGCCTGTCTCTGCGCTTCGGCTTCCACCGCCAGGGAGTGCTGCAGCCCGGCCGGCAGCCTCACGTCCTTACTGAAAGAGAAAGAACGTGGCCAGGTAGGTTTGCGGCACTGCTCTCAGCACTCAGAGCTTCCGGACAGTCTGACCCCCTTCCCTACTGTTTTTCACGATGCACAGGAAATTCTGATTGACAGAGTACCATCCTAGATCCCTGGGCAGACAGTCGGCCAAGGCTGTGTCTCAGGGGTCAGTGCCTTAATGCAGATTTTTATGATCACTGATGCTACAGTAGAGCTATGGTTTTTCTCTTTCCATGTAGAACACATTTTGTGTTGATGGATTATGTTCCTTTTCCCCCCACATAGTTTAATCTAAATCCCAGCTATTAAATTAGAACAATGAAAAAAAAAAACCTTGAAGAGCCACTTGATCAATAATAAGAATAAGGGGAAGTTATCTCAGTTTATACAAGAGAATTATTTTGAAAAGCACAGAACTGACCGAGTAAGAACAATACTGAACGTATTACAAAAAAGATAACAAAATGTTACTTTTACCCTGAATGCAACAATGAAAAAGACAAGGATAGAAAACAGTCTGGCAGTTCCTCAGAAAGTTAAATATGGAATTACCTATAACCCAGTAATTCCACTCCTAGGCCTGAATGCAACAATGAAAAAGACAAGGATAGAAAACAGTGTGGCAGTTCCTCAGAAAGTTAAATATGGAGTTACCTATAACCCAGTAATTCCACTCCTAGGTATCTGCCCAAGAGAATTGAAAACATGTTCACATAAAAACTTGCACGTGAATGTTCATTGCAACATTATTCAGAATAGCCCCAACGTGGAAACAACCCAAATGTCCATCCGTCGATGAGAAGATAAACAAAATGTGGTCTAGTCACACAATGGAACAATATTCGACCCTAAAAAGGAATGACGTACTAATTCATGCTACAGCAGGGGTGAACTTTGAAAACATTATGCTACGTGAAAGAAGCTAGACACAGAGCCCACATATTGTATAACTGCCTTTATATACAAAGGCCAGAACAGAGAGAGAGGCAAATCCAGAGAGAGAGGGGGAGGGGGGGGTTATGAGGGCCTGGGGAGGAGGGAAAATGAGTTTCTGCTAAGGGCGCAGGTTTTGTTTTTGGGGTGATGAAAATAGTCTAGAATTAGTTGGTAGTGATGGTTGCACCACTTTGTGAATATACTAAAAACCACTGCATTGTACTTTAAAGTGGTTTAAAAGACAAGTTTTATGTTATGTGATTTTATCTCAAAAATTTTTTTTTAATTCCTTACAGAGAAAATGAAAGTAATTTGCCCAAATGTCACAATGCTTGTGTTATGTTTATGAGATAATAGGTATAGGTGTTTTTTCTCTTGTCTCCCCCAAATTTATGCTATTATGGCTATAGTCATACTCACGCAATGAAAATAACTTATCAAGTAAAAAACTTTTTAATGAAACCAAAATATTTCCATCTATCATATTGTTCTTCCCAGTTTATTTCCTACCCACATTTCTGTTCTCTCCACTTTGATTCCCCAAATACAGGTCACTGAATCCAAGGCGACCTGCAGAGGGAAGAGTCGAGATGTCAGTGACAGCCTCCAGGTGGTACAGAGGGAGATCTGACAACAGAAGAGAAGACAATGTGGTGACGGAAGCAGACAGTGGAGTGGTGTACTTTGAAGATGGAGGAAGGGCCGCTAGAAGCTGAAATAGGCAAGGTAACGGATTCTCCTTTCAGAACCTCCATTAGGCACCAGCCCTGCTGACACCTTGACTTTGGCCCAGTGAAACTAACTCTGGACTTCTGGCCTTCAGAACTGTTAAAGATTAAATTAATGTGGATTTAAGCCACCAACCTTGTGGTGATTTGTCATAAAAGCAAAGGGGAATGCTACAGATGGCGTATTTGTTAAATCTCTTTTAAAATACATTTATTAGAAACCCAGAGTCTGTAGTTTTCTCCCAAATAACAAGTTCTTTCAATGACGGGTGCTTGCCCGGCCTTCCTTGCATGCGTTTCCCCCACGTCCAGTCCCGGGAGGCGGGAGAAAATGAACTGTGGGTTCTGGAGAAAAGTGGACAAGGCATGGAGCTCCACATGTGGGCTCCTATTCTTTTCCTTCTTAATTATTTCTTAGTTGTTAGATAACTCATAAGCTTAGTGCATTGAGAAACCTGAGAAGATGGACTAGTTTGGGAGTGTGGTGAGAGGAAAGGAGTACTGAAAAAGCCGTCACAGAGGAGGTGGCATCTTAAAGAACAAATAGGATTTTGCCTGTGGAGAAAGGGAAGCATTCCATGCGGAGGAGACAGCCTAAGAGGAGGCAAGGAGCCGGCGGAATGCTAAGGAGGCTGGAGTATCGG